GGATGGAGACGGATCAAGATATCTGGTTCAAGGCGTCATACAGTTGTTTTTGAGCTATTCACATGATGCTTTTATCCAAGAGTACACGAGAGTTGGCAGTCAGCTGTGCATCGATCAGCGAGGGTATCCGGGATTAGCCGATGCGATCTGTAGATCGCCTTCAAGATGTCAAGATTCCGTAGATGTCAGACTTCATAATTTGATTTTATGACATAATGTGATGTCACTTTTTTACATCATATGATTCTTTTTGCTGTCTTCAGTGCAGCAACGGCGTCGTCTTGTCTAAATTGCTTAAACTAGGGGTTCGCTCTCCGGGGATCAGCGTAAGATGAAATGTTGGTTGCTGAAGCCACTTACGATGGCAGCGGATGCAATAAGATCTACAAAGCGCTGATAGTGAGTTGTTAATGTTGGTATTCAGAATATCGAACCCTCTATGATCGTCGTATAGCCAATTCAGTCGGTGGATTGAAAGTTTCATGGTGGCTTGTGGATGGGTGGAGCCAGCGCAGTTGTAGGTCCGCGTGGAACACGCTGGGCGATGCTGGCTATTTGGAAACTGTTGTGCACGCCGTCGGTTCCCATTGGTATCGCAAGACATTAAGTGGGGTCGATGGTATAGCATTTCCTGTCTTGGAGATCTGAAGGTTCCCCGTTCTTTCACACCATATAAAATGTACTGGCTTTCGGTTGATGCCCAAACCAAGCTCCGTTTCGCGCACAGTCGTTGCTGTTATAGCACCAGGGTCTGTGGTGGCTGTTGAAGTCGTTGATATGGACTTTCGAAGGTGGCGACGTTGGGCAAAGCCACTGAGTTGGCAGTGGCTTATATTGGTTTACTGCGATTGTGCAGCCGGTTTTGAAGGCAGTGGTGATCGAAGTTTGGGGCTAGACAATAACGAAATCTTTAAGTTTAGATCTTGACTGGTGTTGACCATGTTTCGAATGATAACTAGCGGCGATATGAACATAACGATTGATCTGCGTAATTTTTGTGATAATTGAAGATTGATGCTGTTTAGTCAAAATGTTGTACTCTGCAGCGTCGTTAAAGTAAAACATCTTTGAGAACCGTAGTAGATTTTACATAAGATACTAATATCGCAGAGTAGCAAGAACAGACAGCGAATGTGCAGAATTCGCCGACACGTAAAAAAATTAGAATGCAGGAATATGGGCTTCGGTAAGATAATCTGTCGGCAACAGGATCAGTCAGGGTTGTTGTTATTGGCTTTATATAATTTTATATGTCATATTTAACTTATTTCGTGATTCTCTGGTTTTATCTTGTAATTTCACTGTTTAAAAGTCAGTGTAGTTTTCGCTCGCGAAAGAAGTAGTCAGATCCAATATCCAGGCAATCAATATGAAGCCGGAACCGGAAGAACTCCTTACAGATCTGATTCATATGGTAAGTGCGAACTGTATCTTGTTTAGTCGAATATCCGTTCTCCATGCCTTTTTGATTTCAATGTCTCTGTACGACCGCATAAATTTGGTCGAAATTCAAGTTTACAGAGTTTTGATATGACTGTTTCTTTCAGTTCACTAAGAATCAGTCATAGTATACTCACCGAAGAACATAAGTGCGCAAAACGTTGCATTGTAGGGTACAGCACCAGAGATTACACAACAGTGTAGACGCGTAACATTTGCGTGGTGCAAATTCCAGTTAATTTTTCTGTAATCATTTTAGTCAGGAACAGAATTTTTCCTCTATTCGACAAGTTTCTTATTTTTGTGGTCGCCTCTAGCCTGTAATAAAAATGCAAATGGTTTGAAATTCGTGGGATAGTGTTTCAAAATTTATCATTATGATTCTTATCAGTTACTATCGAATTATAAGGGAAATTATTATGTAATGTCATTATGTGACTTTACAGTATGCGCGCTGGGTGCATTCTTTGCTAGCAGTCTTTTCGATCGTTTGCACCATAGCTCGTTTGCACCATAGCTCGTTTGCTCTTTGTCCCATGCTGAACGGAATTTAGTTAATTAAACGAGATTAAAAAATATAGCATTTTCATCGTCTATCTTTGAACATTTACAACTAACTCACCTAATAAATATGACGTGACATTTTTGATTCTGGGCCTGTTGTTAAAATTGCGGATTGTTTGTCGATTCAAACGGCCACTGGTCCACGTAACCATAACTCATTCAATATTGCCGGGGTTGTGAATTAACCTTTTGTTTTTTGTCAGGGTTCTCTCATTTTGATGAGGAATTATTTAGGCTGCCTATCGCGATAACACTCTCGGATTGCCAAAAATATGCCCATCAGAAAATTTGGACAAAATTGACGTGAGCATGCTTTACGCCTATATGAAAACTTACTTCACTCCGGCCAGAATGGTGGCAGCAAGTAGGTGTTGCTGAAAATTTTATTACACCATCGGTAGCTTTCGTTTAGGCATCGGAGTCGATCATGACAGATTCGTAGAGGCTACCAAGCAGTGCTTTGAGGACTCTCCCCCTATATGGGAACAGAATCGCGGCCTGCTGCCGGATCATATGCCTTCTATCGACGAATCAGTCAGTCAGTACACAGGTGGCCTGGTAAAGGTATAATAAAGTTCGATCGTTATTAACCATACTGCAGTGTCTTCATCGCTGAGCTGCCTTTCAGAAAGGTGGTTGAATGAAATTTTGGTGACAGACTATCTTGTAAATTTTTTTCAAAGGGCACCGATTTAAGGGTGATAACGGCAAAACGCTAGACACTAAAAGTATTCTACGTAATTCGAGTATAGAAGATTTTGTAACAATAATTTCCTACTATCCGAATGAGTATTTTTATACGTAGCAATGGGAAGTTTAAGTTTATATATCGTTGCGTCTGGACAGATGACATCAAACTACTGTCCGAAGCAAAACGTATTGTACGCACTGTTTACGGGACCAATTTACAGTAAAGTTACTGGAATGATTATCAGAATTTTTGAAGTGCAGCCTTACATTACCGTCATGCAGATATGTAACCAGACATTTCCTGCCATGAGGAACATTGCCTCCAATGGCACCACGTGCTCAGATTTATTTAAGGTTTACTTATAAATGCTTGTGCAGTTTTTAACTCAAGTAAAGTCAGGTGTACGCATCGTAAAAATAAATCGTTAACCGCATGGTCTTCGTGGAGTTTTTTTACAGAACACAGTTCAGACATGCATTTGAGCATAACTGTTGTCGTTAGTGATACATCATTCAAAACGGTATTCCAACTCTTTGAAAACATTTTCTAATTATTATTGAGTGATCGCAGTAAATACAGTTTTTTTCTTTATATCAGTTCATTCAGAGAATATCATCTTGATGAGTAGATAATAGTTGCTTCTATAAAGAGTGGCCAAAAGGTGTCAGGTCAGGCGAATAAAAGTGCTAAGCAGCTGTTTCACCTATACTAATCCACATGTCGGGAAAGATGTCATTCAAGAATTGTCACATTCTAAGCTGTGACAGCGAGCTCCATTTTTGTCAGAGTAGGTTCTACCTAGGGCCGCGCAGGCTGTTTGGGGACTAAGCCAGGCTGTCGGAACCTGCGCACTGTCTTCTGTCTGCCGGGCCATAGCGGCACGACAACGGCTGCCGAGGACAGACAAAATGATGACGAAGATACGAATCAATCACGGAACTGCTGCCTGGTCTGAACTGATGAGGCATATTGCGCAATGCCATTATAACACGTCAGATAAGGTTCCACAGGAACGATACAGACAGTGGGAGCTTATAGTCGGAGATTGAAACATATCCTCACTCAGAGGGAAAGAGTATTAGCTGGTTTGTGATTCTGCAGTATACCAACTCGATATAGTTGGACTTTCTTCAACGAAGCAGCAGGGCTCTGATATTATGACCCTCTGCGGGTGGATGCTATTCTGCTCAGGTGTCGAAATCACAACGCGCGTTCAGGGTGTTGTTGGTGTTCTAGTACAACCCAGCTTTGCTGATAGAATCATTGAATGGAAGCCTGTTAGCGGAAAAGAAACAATCTTCCGCCTGAAGCTACTGTAAGCTCGAAGCGTACAGGCGTTCAAGCTTCGAAGCGTACATCATTATACGTAGTACGGAAAAGCTTTTGCACAGATTGTGCACAGAAGTCGATAATCGACTTGATAATCGTGTCCCGACTGACTACTCTCTGTGGTGTATGTTCCTATTAAGAGAGCTGCAGAGTTGTCAAGTGATCGTCGTCTTGTTGTTGGCACCCTACGCTATGGGATTTAGAGTACCGTGCGAAGACCTGGTGGCTGAAGGAATTAGAAGATCAAGTGGGAAACATTATCTTCAACGAATATGAGATAAAACTTGCAAACAACATCGCACGATGGTTTGAACAGATCCTGATGATGGCCGTTGATGTGGAAACCAAGCGGCAGCTCTTTAAAAGCCGCATACTCGAGGCTGCCGCCGAATGCTGCGGATTTAAACGGGTTTGCTTACCGCCTGAAGCTCAGAAACGAACTTCCTGGTGTATACGAATGGTACAACTCGCTGTCATCGAAAAGGCTGCATTCAAGAGGTGTCTTGGAAGCAAATCGCCTTTAATTCGTATGCAAAACGAGGAAATGTGCAGGGTGGTAGCGAAAGCATGGCGAAATTCAACTCTGATTCACGGGAAAAAATTCATTGAGACGCTGGGGCCGAATTTTTAGAAAGCAAATAATGTATTCCGGCAGGACATCAGCTTCCCAGGTGAAATGAAGGGCTGTTTAAGAGTCCTGAAAGACAAACCTGGACACCCACTTACTGAAAATGAGGACATTCTTCGGCAATTGAGACAGCACTTTGAGTAATTCCTTAGCCCTGAGAAGCAGCAGGAAGAATTGCCTGAAGAGCAACAGGGAACGAAGATAATACCTCTGTAGATGAAGTCACACAAGCTGTGAATAGCTTGAAAAGTAGAAAAGCTTCTGGAATTGATGGAATCCTCCCTGAGGTGCTTAAAGCGTTAGGCGAACAGGACGTGTGCTGGCTTACACGTGTCTGTCAAACTGCAGTGGCTACGGGGAAGACACCAACGGTCAGTAGAACGGGGATTGTAGTACCCCTGTTCAAGAAATCATACCATAAGGAGTGCTTCAGTTATCGGTGCATTACCTCATTGAACCTTCTGGATAAGGTCTGCACAAAGGTGGTAGAAAGTAGTAGTCACGAAATGACTGACTCCGAAATACTAGAAGAGCGGTATGGCTTCCGATCTGGTAGAAACACATCTGACCAGATATTAGCCCTACTCCAGACTGTAGAAATCGTGCGAGTTCGCTTGTTCGGTTTACATATTCCTTGTTGTTCTGGGGAATGCCTGTCACCGGATACCCTTTACGAACTTGCTTTCAAACATATGGAATCGTGGCCATTTGTAACGAGCGATCCAGTTACTATATGCTGATAGCTGGTCGCGCGTTAGAGTAAATGGCGTTAAGTTGAGACCTTTCAGCGTTGGAACTGGTTCTCGCAAAGGGGAAAGGTTCGCAGTCGAGTGCGACGTAGTCAGCATGCG